TTTGTTTTGTTTTGTTTTGTTTTTTTTAATAAATGAATGCTTGAAAGAATTAATGACCTGAAGAACTGAGGGAGTCATGTGAAATGATGTCAGGACCCTAGAGAGGCTATAAAGTGGAGAAAACATGCCGTGTGCACCCACGTTCCAGGTGTGCGTGAGGTCCCCCCGCCTCCCTCGCGGAAGGACAGGGCACGGCTGTCTCTGCCTCTGTGGCCCAGCAGGTTTGTGACCCATTTCCCTCCCGCAGATTTTGACGGTGTCTGGACCACCTGAAGGAGGGACTCGAGTGACCATCCATGGCGTGAACCTGGGCCTGGACTTCTCTGAGATCGCCCACCACGTGCAGGTGGCTGGGGTGCCCTGCACCCCCCTGCCGGGGGATTACATCATCGCTGAGCAGTGAGTCCAGCCCACTCTGGCCCGCCCTTTTCCCATGGAGCTTCAGGGTAGGGGCTGCCCCTTTCCCTTTGCTGGGACTTCTCCAGGATTCCCTCCCACCCCTCTGTTCCCGTGGACCCTGCCCCCAAAAGCTTTCCCTGGGCCCTCTTCTACCCCACCTCCACTTTCAAAGGCTCCTGTGTGTGTGATTCCCTGTCCCCTGGCTCCTGTGGCATCAGAACTCCTAGCACAACACTGTCTCTCATTCAGTCTTCACCTGCCCTGGCCACTGAGCCACGTTCCCAGCCAGCCCAGGTTCCTCCTCGGTCTCCCCGGCCCCCTCCGCTGCCAGCCCCCATTGGAATGCATCCCGCACAGTGGGCTGCGGGCAACAATTTGTTTGGCTCATGGGGCTCTGACAGCAGCTTAATCCGAGCAGGGCCTCCGCCGGAGCAAATTCATTTATTTCACTAAGGGAAATGTCAGCTGGAAATTAGAAAATAGGCATGTAGCCGCGGACAGGCGAACGGGGCTCCAGGAGTGACATATGTTCCAATTTGGGGTGTTCATTTGGCAGTGGTGACCGCTGTGGAGTTGGTGGGCAGGAGATGGGCGCAAAACTGGGGGCAGGAGCCTGGAAGGAGGGATGCTCCCCCCACCCCAATCCCAAAGAGAGACGGAAAGGAGATCATTCTGGATGATTTGTCATGTAACGTGGGGTCAAGTCTCCCTAGTCCTGCTGGGAACACAGCTGTGCTGTGCGAGGGGGAGGGGTGTGAGGGGGGAGCCCCAGAGCAGGGCTTGTGGGAGGGGCTTCTCTGCCCTAGCTCCACCCCCCCGCAGCCCCAGGCCCTCCCCCTGACCTGCCCAGACCCAGCCTTTAGTAACCACCAGAAAAATGACATCACTTTCTCTTCTGTCAGCCCTTGCCCTTCTCATCCATTTTCTCATTTTTAATTGGAAAGGACTCAGAGGTGGAGACTGTTATCTCCCTTTACAAAGCAGGAGAAGGCAAAAGGCTTGGGGAAGTGAAATGACTTCCCCAGTTCACTCAGTGCACAAGTGGCCAAGGCAGAGCTGGAACCCGAGTCTCCTGACTTCCACTCCAGGTCTCCCTGTCTCATAAGAGTGGATAGGGCAAGACTCCCGGACACGAATGGCCTGAAAATGTCTTGATCCTCCGGGGTCAGGGGCCACGATTCCGGTGTGGGCCCAGAGCAGGGTCAGAGTCAGAGGAGTGACTTCCCAGCTTTGAGGACCCCATTGATGTCCGCTCACCACCTCGGGGGAGAAGGAGCCGTTCTAATCCTTCAGACCGGCTCCTCCCCTGACAACCTTCTCCCTGCAAGGGCTGAATCTTGGAGGGAGGACTGGCTGGGGCTACAGGAAAGAGATGAGGGAGAGAAGAGGGAAACCGCAGAGGCTGTGGGGCCAGAGAGGGGGTGGACGCATCTGGGGCAGGAGGCGGGACAGTCTGTGGAGTCCTTCCGGGTCAGAGCCCTGCCAAGCTGGGCGAGACCCTCGGTGCCACCTACCCTGAATCCACCTTGGCTTTAAGGACCTGCCCTGGGCCTCCGGACAGAAGTCAAGTCTCCAACTTGGTGAGATGCCACAGGACTCCAAAGGAAAGGGTTTGGGGGACCACTGGGTATGGCTTTGAGCTGAGAAGTGCAAACTCTTGGGCAGCTGGACACGGAGAGCTCATGAGATTTGGAATTCAAACGTGTTCTAGTCCTGCCTGCTCTACTGACCAGCCCTGAGGCCTTAGCAGACTGTCAGTCTCTCTGACCTTCATCAACCTCATGGAAATCGTGATTCCTACGGTACGGGTTTTGGGGGGAAATTCAGTAAGATGAGAAAATGGAGACTGCGATGTACCATAGGAATGTGAGGAAGTATTCTATCTTTGGAATCAAATGCACCACCCTCACCCAGGGCCGGGGGGGAAAGCGCCCGTAGAATCCACAAGTGAGGCTATGCAGGGAGCCCGGGGAGGTGACTGGTCGAGGTTGGTGGCCCGGCACCCCAGAAAACCAACGCTGCCTTCGTGTGGGGCACGGTGTGGGCAGGAGGGAGCAGGCCCTCCACACCTCAGTTGGTACAGCCCTGGTTTCCAGCCTCCCCAGGCTCCTTACCACTCTCGAGGCTCCAGAGTTTTTAGCATCATTAAAGCCTCCCGCCCGGGCAGACAGCAGCAGGCATGATCATTACAGATGTCCGGGAGAGATGAATTTGGCTACACGGGCCAGTGCAGTGTCCCGGGTGCGGGCAGGGTTAGCGGGCACGGTAATGGCCCGCCATATGCTTGTGCCACACCATCTATCACTCAGCAATTAGGTTAATGTTGGTTAAAAGGCCCCGCTTAGTCTTGCAATTAGCACCCCACCGGTCTGTGGAGGGCCGGATGATTCCATCACAGGACGTTTCCTGGGTGATAAGACTCAGGTGGGGGCCGAAGCTCCCCACCCCCAGGGGTGCACCCTCGTGCGGAGAAAGGTGACATCCCTGCCGGTCTGTGGGAGGCGGTACTGTGTGGGGGATGAGGACACCGGGCTGGGTGCCAGGAGCTCAGCTATTGGGGAACCGGGTGACTTGGGGCAAATCACTTTGCTCCCAGATTCTCAAAAGTCTCATCCGGGGAATAGAGAAATGGAGAAATAGACATCCTTAGGATGTCAGAGGAGGAAACTGTATGCCCCAGGGAACCGCACTTCCCACCGTTAGAAAGCCTGTCGGTGTCACTAATGTGTCCCCAGAAGCTCCCTGTCAACCAGGGAGGAGTCGAACCTCCAAATGTTGAACGTGGATAGTTGTTTAGTCAGGCCCCTCTTTTTGCAAGGGAAAAATGTTGGCACCCCCAGCTGTCGTCTCCTTGTAATATACTGGGGATCCTAGAGCCACCAGAGACACCAGGAGGAGGCCAGGAAGGCAGGAGGCCCCCAGAAATCGAACCACAGGAACTTTGCCAACTCGTAAGGCTTGAAGGAGGAAGTGGTGCACACACTGCTGCCTGTGGTCATCGACACCCGGGAAGGTAGGGGGCACCTCCCGACACCCCAGCAACCTCAACTGCACCCCGACATTGCTGCCACGTCCACCCTGTCCCCTCCCCAAAATACATAGAAAGCGTTCCATTAATTCTGCAAGCAGTAGAGCAGAATGGTCAAAGGCTCAAGCTTTGGAGTCAGGTTGACCTGGATTTGAACCGTAGCTCTGCCGCTGTGGCCGTGGACAAGTCACGTGGCATCTCTGAGCCTTGGTTTCATTGCCCATAAAATGGAGCTAATAGGACCGCCCTGCAGGGGAGCTCGAGATGACACGAGAGCCTATCTTGTACCGTGCCTGCTGTGATCACAGCTCAGTAAATTGTAGCTCTTATTATTATTAAGGTACCCAATCTGCCACGGCCCGACCATCATTCCTCAGTATAACCCTTTTTACTCCCCGCAGCCTCCCCTGCTTCTTCCTTACCTTCCTCTCTCCCTGAGCTCAGAGAACAAATGATACAATTGTATTCTGTATATTCCAACCTTCAGTGCGAGCACGAGCACGCACGGGGCGGGGGAGGGGGGTGGACCGGGAATAAAAGGAAGGAGAGTGAGAGGTCATTGGGGTTCTTCCGCGTGCTTCTCAATTCCTTAGGATTCTCTCCCAGTTCTTCCCTACCACCCCAAACCCTTTGCTACAGCCCACAGCTTCCCCCTGCCCGCTTCCCACTCACAGGTGAAGGTGAACCTCATTCCATGGGTGGGGAGAGGCATCAGTGACAGTGCCAAGGAAGGGAACCCAGGGTAGTGCTCTGGCACCTTGCTGCAGCCTACCCCTGCCCCCCTTGCATCATGCCCTTCGCGGTGGGGCATTCAGGGCCAACCGCGGGCACTCAGCCTTGGACACTTGGGCAGTACTCCTCTCGCATCTGTCCCCCTTCTCCCAGGTCCCTGATATGTAAAGCTTATGTTTTGGGACATAAGGAAATGTTCTAGGAAAGACGGTGCACCAAAGGGTTCTAGGCCATTGTTCACACCCTACAGAGACAGCTGAATGGGCCATTCTAGGCCTTCTCCTCTCCTGCACAGACCCCTGGATCCCAGGAGGAAAAAGTATGCCCATGGCTTTCACAGGTTGTCATATTTCCTCCCTCCGTGATATCAAGCCTACCATGATCTCTTCTTCCTCCTTTCTTCTGGAGGATGACTGTAGCACAGAGTGTCCAGGGGGTGGTGAGGGAGGGATGAGAGAAGGAAAGAGATTTATCTGCTCCCCCTTCTTCTTTGTCCTCCTCTTCTCCTGCAATGGATGACAGATTCTCCTCTGAAGCGTCTCAGGAGTACAGGGCATATGGTTTGCGGGACGGCAGGGACCCCAAACAGGTGCAGGCACTAGGGCCCAGGAAACGGGATGAGAGATTTGTTACTCCGAGCAGGTAGCGGCCTGAAAATAACCACACACAGTACCTTAAATTAAGCTTCTCAAATGCTCTGCTAATGAGGTTTAAGAAGACAGTTCTGTGTAAAATACTAATTGATCATCCCTATCAGCTTTACTCTGGGTTCGTAATTAATTTATTTATTCATGGAGGAAGGGAAGGGAGACTGCCCTTCCATGCGCATTCAGTACTTTCTTGTTGAATCTAATATGCTAAACGTGATAAGACAGTTATTGCATGTTAAGTAAATATTCACCAGGAGTTAAAGTACTTATTTGGGATTAACTGTTATGAAGGAGGTGAAGATCTGTGGCATGCCGTGTGTGCGAGCGTGCGGTGTGTTTGTTTAATGCAAGTTTTATTACATCGAAACGAAATCTCTGTTTAGTTACCTTCCTTCCTGGAGAAGCCGTGGCGATAAGCGCCTCCCAGCTAGACGCGGATCTACCCCCATGGTGCCGGCGTAAGGCTGGGGATGAGTGCACCGGGGTCTGTTTTCCTGCCTCCCCGCTAAGCAAACCTACCGGGGGCACCAGACTGCTCCGAACTCTTATGCGGTGTTGGGAGGAATCGAAAGTCCTTTCTTCCGTCCTTGGGTTCTCTTTTGCGGAGCCTCATGGGACCCCGTGCCTTCTAACTCCAAGCGAGAGAGCCCCCCGAGAACCTGATTTCTTCAGTCTCTCCCGTGTCCTCCAGCTGCCCGCCCTTTCGAGAAGGCTGCTGTGGCCAAGGCAACCAGTGTCTAAATGTGCTTGTCGTAACTGATCTCAGGCACCAGGGAGGTCATCACTGGGGGTATTGATCTGCACTTCATGAGAGAAAACACTGTATCCCCATCTTGCCTCCAGCTACCCAGCCTCTTAATGTGAGACGTGACTTCCAACCCCACGGCTGGTTCGCTGCCTCGCCCACCAGCTTAGGGCGCTCAGACTTTGATTAAGTGGGACTCCGCTGTCAACTGCTGTCCTAATGAACTCATCCGCCATCCACCCCTTCTGCTGCCGAGGGACTTGGCTCCTCCCTTTGGCCGGGAGCTCCTGCTTTGGGCGTTCACTATCTCGTCAGATTATCTATTCCCTTTTTAAACCTCACTGTAGGAAACAAACCACTGTTGAATCACCTTGGCAGACAGGCCCTCGCTCACTCCTTTAGGGCGAGTTGCCATTTTGGCTTGTCACACAGGAAGGAACGCGAAATTACTGCCCCTGGGTCTCTCTGTTGGACATTGGGTTTTATCCCACAAATACTGGGTAACTACCCCGTGCTAGGCACCTCAGAGGCACTGGGAATGCAGGTCGATTCCGAGAATTAAGCAGCATAGCATTTGGAGGCACTCCGGACTTTAGAGGTGATCTCATTCGGCTTCTCACTGTACAGATGAGAGGCTGAAGCCCAGAAAGGGAAAGCACTTTACCCGAGGTCACACAGCTAGATGGGTGAGCAAGCTGAGTCTTGGTACAGCACCAGTGCAAGTGTGTGATGAGTCATTCGTTGAGACGGGGGTGGGGGTGTGGGGGGCACGGGGGAGGTAAGATGAGAAGTATAGGCAGGGATGTGGGCTGTGGCCAGGCCTCTCACGGGAAGATTTGCTCTCTCCTCAGGATCGTCTGTGAGATGGGCCATGCCCTCGTGGGAACCACCTCCGGGCCTGTACGCCTATGCATTGGCGAGTGTAAGCCAGAGTTCATGACCAAGTCCCATCAACAGTACACCTTTGTGGTGAGTATTGGGCTACGGGGCTCCCAGCCTGTTCTAGGCTTCTCCCACAAAGGCGCCACACCCCCCTCAAGCCGGGGGTAGGATGGATGTGTGACTGACGATGCTATTAGAGTCTCAGAGAGTCACGGGCCAGAATTCTAAATAAGGCAAGATCAGGTCTTTCTTAGAAAGTGGATCCTGCCCGTAAGGGAGGGAGGGGGCCACCCCTTGTCCTGCCAGTGTGATATCTTAGTCTCATTCCAGCCTAATGAGGACAGATCCCCTGAGGGACCTAATTAAAAAGGTCTATATTTATCCACATGCTTTGTTTTCTGCCAAAGCTATCGCGAGTGGGAGTTTAGAGAAGTCACTTCAAATCCTGCAGAGACAAGTGTCTGTGGCAGGACCATGGGAGCAGGGGGTACTGAGTGAGTTGCTCTGTGTGATGGTGTAGTTAGGCACACTGATGCACACTCACAGCTGAAGACATCTCTTCGCACTCGGGCGGCGGGTAGTAGAATCACGACAACTTTCTCGAAGGCCGGCACTGTATTCCTGCTGAATCGATAGCGTGCTTCTGGGGCCTTGGAATCTGCTGGGGCTACCTTCCTGCTGAATCAATAACTTGCTTCTGGGGCTCTGGAGTCCCTTTGCTGACACTTTTCTATATTGCCACATTGAGTTCTTCATTAAAAAGTGTTAACACCAGCAGATGGGGTCAAACCAGCCTTGCTAAGAGTTTTGAAAAAATCATTAGACCACAACATTTTATTCTCTCTAAAGCATTTTACTGCTTGTTTTAGGTTTTCCAGGCTCTGCCTTCTTATCTTGGCATCTCTGTCCGTTTCTCATAGTCGTCTTTTCCTCAGATTGGAGAGTACCATTGTCTGCCTGCCACCGGCTTCCCCTATCTTCAACGCAGGACAGACAGGGTCTCGTGTGAGCAGCAAACACAGAAAGACGGGGGAGGGGGGAGGGGAGAGAAGACCGTAGAATGTCCCAGATGGGAGAGGCTTTAGAGATCATTTAGCCCGCCCTCCTCTCTCTTGACATTGGAGCAAACAAAAGCCCAGAGTGATCTAGAAGCTTGCTTCGGGGCCAATGGGCAGTGACCGGCTAATGCGGTCTAGAATTCATTCAGGTATAGTTGTTCAGTTAAAAGCACTTCCGACTCCCCCAGCCTGGCCTTCCAGACAGGAGCAATTCCTTTCTTATTTAGGTCAGCCGCCGGATGCACCGTAGGCCACATGACATTTCTTTCAAGCTTCGGATTTTATTTTACAGCTTAGGGAGTTGACTAAAATGTGCTGGCCATCGATAGGACATCCTCCTGATGAAGGTGGCGGGGAAGCTGTATCTAACACTGACAGGCCCCCGGCCGTGCCCCTCACGTGCTTAGGAAGGGACAGGACATGTGCAAGGGCCATTAATGGAGGACTTTGGCCCCTTAGTGGCCCAATCCAGACAAGGATGCTTTATTCAACCTAATCGATTTTGTGCCAAAAAAAATCAGTACAGGCTCTAGATAGAGAAGCATTTTCAAATTGCTCTCAATTTGTAAACTAATTGATAGATTAGTCGGTGTTACCTCTGCCTTCCCATTGGTGTTATGAGCATGAGACTCCCCAGGGAGTTAATTAATTCTAAAGCTCGGTCCGTCTGCCTTCCCTGGACATGCCAAGAGCCTCTTCTTAGAAAGGGCCTCCGCTCCAGGAGAAGAGATTGAGAAAGGGCAGAAAAAGTACCTGCACTCTGAGCAGGGACACAGCTCCTCCTTTGGTCGTTACGTCCAGCGTGGGTCTGTCCCTTTGGCCCAAACCTGAGTGTGACCGTTTCTCTGTTTTTTTCCAAAGAACCCTTCCGTGCTGTCGCTCAACCCCATCCGAGGACCAGAATCGGGAGGCACCATGGTAACCATCACAGGCCATTACCTCGGGGCAGGCAGCAGCGTGGCTGTATATCTGGGCAACCAGACCTGCGAGTTCTATGGGTGAGATGGGCTCAAAGGAGCACTGGAAGGCTGTACGTGTGAGGCGTGTGCGCGCCTGTTCTGGGCGTGTTCACACAGGTGCCCGCCCCTTTACTCCCACGGTGTGGGCCACGTCCTGGGCCCAAACACCATTCCAGTCCCTGTGAGCAATCCATCCCACTACTCAGTTTATAGCAATATAGACCACTTAGTCAATATATCTAGGGGCTAGATACTTCTAAAAATAATGAGAACAAGGGCCGTGAGAGCTGCTGATGGGGAAGTTCCCAGAAACTCTCCAGTCACCATCAGGACCCAGCATTCATTAGGTCCCCACTATGGGGACTCGAGAAACATGGAGACTACATGACCTCAGTCCTCAGCAAGCACACAGACTTATCCTCAGGGCATCTCTTGTGCATGAAAACCTGAACAGCTGCTATTTGCCGGATACTCCGATGAGGCCTTGGGGATATAGAGAATCCTGAGAGAATCCATGGGTGAGAACCCAACATGCTCAGTATCAGCCAATCATCTCCTCCTCCGGTTATAAACTCCCTAAGGGCAAGGACTGTGTTCCCTTCTCTGCATAGTAGGTGCTCAGTGAATACTTACTGAATGACTGACCAGACTCTAAGCACTGGCTAACTAGCCTATTCTAGAAAAATCCAGAAAAGATCACCCAAAGCCCACGAAGCCCTGACCCCTGCCCCACATTCTCCAGTCCCCTTCTTCAACGTGTTCCCTCCCTCGTCCAACCAGAGTCAGATCTCCAGTAAAAAGAGGCACTGATATACACCGATAAGGGATATGTTCCGTTGTGTAGAGTATGAAGGAACAGAGCATTTCGTGGGCCATACATACCCTCAGACTGAGGAAAATCGCCTCTGAAGCCAGAGAGCTCTCCTCATTGCCAATGCCTTTCTTTACAACCCTCTTGCTGTCTCCCTGTCAGGCGGTCAATGAACGAGATCGTGTGTGTCTCACCCCCGTCATCCAACGGACTGGGCCCAGTCCCCGTTTCCGTGAGTGTCGACCGAGCCCGCGTGGATAACAACCTACAGTTCGAGTACATAGATGACCCCCGGGTGCAGCGCATTGAGCCGGAGTGGAGCATTGCCAGGTGAGGCAGAGGGGGGACGGATAACACCCAGCCGCCACCTGACAGAACCCCTGTCTTGTGAGGGGGCCGGGGTCGAGGTGGTAGCCGTTTGAGAGGGCTTTTAACCTAACCCAGCCTCTGCTTGTTCCCAGTGGCCACACACCCTTGACCATCACAGGCTTCAACCTGGATGTCATTCAGGAGCCAAGGGTCCGAGTCAAGTTTAATGGCAAGGAGTCTGTCAACGTGAGTAACCGCCGGTCCTCCTGGCCCTCCCTATAACCACAGCTCTGCGTCTGGGTTTGCAATGTGATGAGGTCCGTGTTAGCTCCCTCTTCCAACCAGATGCACTGGAGCGGCCGTCTATGGGGGAAGAAAGTTAGTTCAAGACCCTGAGCTTGGAATCATGGCCCCAAACACCTGAACCTTCTAAGGACTTTTGCAATTACAGCATAATCATTTCTCGTCAGAGGGCGAGTATATAAATGTCCTGGCTTCTGAGCTTAAGAGAGAGCACAGAAGGGCTCCTGGTTTCATGCTATGTTTGCTTTGAGGTCCCGTAAGAAGCAGTGTGGAAGGGTGAAGAAACGCTGGCTCCAGAGGCAGACACATCTGAATTGGAAGCAGGACGCTGCCCTCCATTAGTCGTACGACCACGATCAAGTCGTTTAACCTCTGTTATCCCCTATTCTCTGCCTGTGTAAACGCTGACGATAAGACTCTCCTTGCAGATCTGTAACACAAAGCCCTTGGCGGGCACTAGGTTAGCGCTTGATAAACGGTAGTCACTGTGAGCAGCTAGTCCTACCCCGGCTGCGAAGGTGATCAGTCGAACATTTTACTTTACTCCTCGGTGCGGAGCCATGTAACTTAATTTTTTTTTCTCTACGGACGTTTGTGGTTTTCAAAGAAGTTCCCTATCATAAAAGTAGAATGTCTGAGATGTCGTTACACATTTTTTAGTTAGTTCTGGTGGCTTCCCCCTCAGTCTTGTTAGCCGGTATTCTCTGAAACACTGCTGTATTCGTAATTATAGTCCAGGAGATGCTATTATGGCCGTTATTTTTCATATAATTGCTATTATTGCTGCTTTGACCTCAGGGGATTGAGTAGCTGTGATAAAGACAGGAAAGATGGTACTGTGCCTACCCTTTTATCCCTGACAGACCCCCCGCATGCTGGAAGCTTCCTTAGGAAACACATAAAGGCACAAAATGACACAGCATTTGAAGGCAAGTTCTGGAAAAGTTACAGGAATCATCTGGTCCACCCCCCTCGTTGTATAGCTGAGGAAACTAATGCCAGAAAGGAGTAACGGCTTGCCCCCAGCCATGAGGGTAGCTGGAGGCAGAAGCAACTAGATCCCCCCAAAACCTGGACTCTTCATTACCAGACTCCGTGAGATGCTGGTGATCTGGTTATGATGTTCCATCATGGCAGACATCCAGGGACACCCGTATCACACCTTCAGTTTCCACCCTGGTCACAGCTCTTTGGGCCAGGAGAGCACGTGCCTCCTTATCCCAAGTGGAGAGCCTGATCCGGGGGTAAAAAGACCTATGCTCCCACTCCACTTCCAGACTGAAGCCAGTGTTCCCAGTAGCTCACAGACCACCTTGTCAAACTCCAAGGACTAAGTGGAAGGAAGGAAAATGAGGGGTGGAAATGGGAACAGTGGCCTGACACTCAGGAAGGATAAAACCCCTAAATAAATTAGGTACGTGTTTTGAAATAAAGGTTTTACTATTACTCAGGTATGTCAAGGCCAACAGCACAGGAGGCAACTGCCATTGGAAAGATAGTTTGTTATACTCACAGACCCCAAGGGAAGGGGGCTTCCACACCAAGGGGGAAGCAGCCGGTGGGGGGGGGTCTGGAAGCAGAGGGAGGAAAGGGCACTGTGGGGAGAGCCTTTATTATGGCTTCTGCAGGAAGGAAGCATGAAGGCAAGGTAAACAGGCTTAGGGGTGCCCAGTCCGAATCGTTTTAGCGGCCTCTGGGGCACGGGGGCTGTTCCTGATTGTCCCGTGCTCGGCCTGGTATGATTAGGGATGGTGGATGGGTGCTTAGAGTGTGGAAAAGGAGGCAGTCGGGGGTCTGGGCTCCGGACTGATTGGTTTGCATCACAACAGCGTGCTCTAGCAGGCAGGTTGTTTGCGGTCTCTAGGCACTGGCTGGTCCTGGGAGGGGGACCCCTCCAGGTCGTAAGGCCCCAGATGTCACAGCAGTAGAAGTACAGGAAGTAAAAGACATGGTTAAGGCAGTACAGAGTAAGTATGTGACTGACGAGGTTAACCTCCAAAGCCTGCGGCCTTAGTCCCCACGAAGCCATTTGAAGAGAAGACTGGTCTGGAAAGGCCTTCCCTATACCTGACATCCATCTGCAAAGGCTAAGGTCTTGCAACCCTGGGCAGGAATCTTCCCAGCAGTTCCCCCAGCCCACCCACTGTGCCCTCCGTGTTTCAAGCAGTTAAGTGATGGTTCCTCCCTGTTGAGAGCTGGGGGTCCTCAGGCTCAATAGTGACCTGCCTGGAGCCTGCAGGCAGACAGGCCTGGAGGAGCCACCTGGATGTGGTCTCTTCATCAAGCCTGGCTCCACAACGGGAAGGTGGTGACCTCTGCCCCCTCCCTTTGCTGTTGGGAGCTCTCTGTCAGGAGCGGTGGGGACAGAAAAACTCTGCCCCCCGCCCCCACAGGCACGTCTTCAGCCCACTGGGTCTACCTCTTGCCTCTGGATTTTGAAGCATCCCCAGTGAGACGTGAGAAGGGCCAAGGCAAAGGCCGCAAAACCCCCAGGAATTTTGGCAAATAAAGTGCCGATGCAGCACCGGGCAGTTAACGAACAGAGCCTGCTTGTTTGGGAGTGATTTGCTTATTCAGAGAGGAGTCTGGTCTAGGGAGCCCTCCCCCGCCCGGGCATGCAGCCCTCAGCAGGCTGTTCTAGTGAAACTCTTAAACTCCCTCTGGAAAGTGGGGGTTAACACTTGGACTTGGGGGTCTGACATAATCTCTGTGCCAGGGTCAGCTTCTCTGCGATTTCACACGGGGTCTTGTTTTCGGAACATGAAGCTCGTGTGTGTGTGTGTGTGTGTATGTGTGTGTGTGTGTGTATGTTGGCCAGACTCACAACACATGTGAACCTGCCAGGACAGCGTGTACTTGAGCAGGCCGAGCTCTCCCAGATGCCCTTGGCTGTTGCTGGGACACCCAGAGCCCCAACCAGGACCGTGCTGAGCGCAAGCCAGGAGGAGAGCGCGTGGGAATCGGGTTTTGTCCACATGCCACGCGGGGTCCTGTGGCGGTTTCTTCGGTCCGGCCACCGCCCTGGACAGCCCTGGAACTAAACCACCAGAGAAGGGAATGGCGCCGCTCACGCTAAGTCGAGGCCGGCTCAGCTAGGATTTTAGTACAGACACCAGGGTCTACCCAAAAAGGAAGGACATTATGACCTCAGTATCCGTACCCGGGCTACTCCCTTGTGCAGAGTGAGGGGGCGCCTGGCTGCAGAAGAGAGAGATCCTGAACAGAATGCTTCAAGACTTGAAGGATTCTTTTTACTCATCAGTGTATTCAGTAAACATTAACTGAACACCTACTATGTGCTGGCAGAGTGCTCATCTCATGCTACTCCCTGCTCCCCAACACATACACACCCTGTCTACACTGCTGTCCTGCTTTGTCCTCAAACTCCCTCCTCCCCAGGCCTTTGCTGCCCTTCCTTCTGCCTGGGACTCGTTGCCCCCACCCCTCCCCCTCCTTGTCTAGGAGAGTCCTGCTCGTTCTTCAGGTTACATTTCACTCCTTCTGTGCAAGGAAAAGTGTCCCTGAGTCATCCTCAGGCCACGGCCATGCACTCTCTCTCACACACACACCCTCCTACCCTGCCTGGTCCTTGCCCACTGGGCCTTTCACACAGGCACTCATGTATTTAGCGGTGCTTGAACCCCTACTGCAGTCCGGTCCCCGTCTGGGACTATGTTATAATGCGTGTTTGGTCATTTGTCTCCTCCTCCGGACGATGACAGTGTCACTAAATGGCCCCAGCTGCTAGCATAGCGGCTGACACAGAACAGGCCGTCAAACGACGTTGGTGAATGAATGAATGAGGTTAACATGTGTGCCCCAGTCTCCCAAATTTCACAGTCCTTTTTCTCAAGGGGCTCACCATCTAATGAAGACAACCAAGTAATCAGGGGGTGACAAGCCAAAGCAAAGAGAGGGCAGGAAGTGGTAGTGTGACCCCCCCCCCCACCTCTCACTCGATCTGCATTTAAATGCTGCACTCTGGCCCTCCCAGGTTTGTAAAGTTGTGAACACCACCACCCTAACCTGCCTGGCACCCTCTCTGACCACGGACTACCGGCCCGGCCTGGACACTGTGGAACGGCCAGATGAGTTTGGATTCGTCTTTAATAACGTCCAGTCCTTGCTCATTTACAACGACACCAAGTTCATCTACTACCCCAACCCAACCTTCGAACTGCTCAGCCCTACCGGAGTGTTGGATCAAAAGCCAGGATCCCCCATCATTCTGAAGGTAGGATGGGCAGAGAGCAGTGCCTGGCCCGTGCCGTGATGGTGACAGCCCCCCTCACTCCCGGCCTTTCCTATTCACCTCTCTGTGCTCACAGCCTCGCAAAGCTGCCATCTCCCCGAAAAGGGAGCTTGTTTATAGATATTGACCCATCCAGCCATATATCTGGCCCTTGGGATTCTCAAGGAACACTTTACAATGTTGCTGTTTGTTCTTGTGAGCTTTGGGACGCCAAAATTCGGCAGCGCCTTGGAAGCAAACACTTCCTTTCATTGACCGCTCCCGTGGCCACCGTAGCCCGCGCGCCTATTCCAAGGGGTCACGGTGCCCCGGAACGATTCGTCCACCTGTTTTGTTACTTTCCTTTATATCCCACGTGCTCTCCTCCAAATGCTCCCTGGTTTGGAGTCTGTCTCTCCTTCCAGTCTTCTTCCCATCCCTTCCTCCCTTGCTTTCTCTCCTCCCCGCATTTTCTCTCTCTTTCTCTGGAAATTGGGGCTGTTTGAAGTTTTCCCCAGAAACTCTGCACGGAGTCATCTATTGGTTTTTGCACGGCTGCCCTTCCCCCACGGCTTTCATCTCTTTTTTAGGCAGTTAACTTCTGCGTCCCTGCGTCAATTGTTTCTTTTAAGATTACTGTTCTCCCCAGGGCAAAAACCTCTGCCCTCCTGCCTCTGGAGGTGCCAAACTCAACTACACCGTGCTGATTGGAGAGACCCCGTGTGCTGTCACTGTGTCGGAGACACAGCTCCTCTGCGAGCCTCCCAACCTCACGGGGCAGCACAAAGTCATGGTGAGTGAACCCGCTTCCTTTTATGACTCCCCCCACCTCCTCGCCGTGCATGCATGATCTGTCACAAAGTGAGGCTGTCCCGTCTACTTCCTCCATAGCCCCTCCTCATCATGTTCTACATTGAGATGGGTAGAAGTTGAGAACCCAAGAAAGGAAAGGGAGACGATAAGCAGGAAGTTGTTTCATGTCCAAGTCTGTACTGTGTGGCCGTGGTCACTCATTGCCCTTTCTGAAACATAAGGATCGATGGCATGCCAGGGCTCTACAGCGTCTGTGTGTGTGCAATGCACAGGTTCACGTGGGCGGGATGGTGTTCTCTCCTGGCTCGGTGAGTGTCATCTCAGACAGCTTGCTGACCCTGCCAGCCATTGTCAGCATCGCGGCGGGCGGCAGCCTCCTGCTCATCATCGTCATCATCGTCCTCATTGCCTACAAGCGGAAGTCTCGAGAAAACGACCTCACTCTCAAGAGGCTCCAGATGCAGATGGACAACCTGGAGTCCCGCGTGGCCCTGGAGTGTAAGGAAGGTAGGTGGAGGCACTGTCTCGCTTCCTGGCCCCATCTTTCGTCACCAGTCCTTTACCGCCTCCCGGGAAACTGCTCTTATCGCTGTTTCCATCCCTCCCACCCTCAGCCTGTTTTCCCAGAAACTTACTTTGCTTTTAGCATTAGAGAAGTCCCATTAAGAATGCCCAGGGCGAGGCCCCAGGTCTGACCATCTTGTTCCTGGCCTTCCTGAGCCCTGACTCATCTCCCAGTCTGGGAGCCTTTCTCTCCCTTTCGGGGCCTCGGTCTCCCCACAGTCAGAGCCTCCCAGGCTCGGCTGTCGGTTGCTATAGGTCCCCCAGATGGGAATCCGGCTCCTGTTTCTTGCATAGCTGCTCTCAGAGCGTGTGGAGGCAGCAACAGCAGGAGAGGCAAGGAAGCTCTTCACCTATCTCCGGCCTTATCCCCTCCCCTCCCCCAGGGCGTGTTTTCCACCCGTGCCACAGGCCGAGCGCTCTGAAGGCCACCACTCGCTGGTGTCCTCGACCGTGGACACACGTGGGAGTAGCGATTGCTTCCTTCCATCTCCCACGCAACCACAGCCTCGAGGTGACACATATATCTGGTGTCCCCTCGGGCTGAGGACCCACCGGGCTCTCTGGGTAAACATTTCAATTAAGAATCAAAACATTTCTGCCTTTGCTACAAACATCAGGATCAGGAACAAGCCCTCTCTGCTGGGTTAAAGGGAACGGCTGGGCTGGGGCGACGTGGGGAATGGCTTCTCCGGTGCCAGGGCAGGGGAAGGGCGGGGAGAAGGGCATCAGGCAGACAGACCTGCCACCAAAGGAGCGCTCCCCTGCCAGCTGAGGGCCTGATGGCTGGGGCGCCGCAAGGCTGGCTTTGGTGTTCTTAGTTCCCTGTGTGTGTGTGTGTGTGTGTGTGTGTGTGTGTTAAAGTACACATAACATCACATAAAATCTGCCATTTTAACCCTCACTGTCTCCACACCCTAGGGCTCTTCCTTCCAGCTAGGTAGCATTAAGTACATTCACATCGTTATGGAACCACAACCGCCATCCAGAACTTTCTCTTCCTCCCCAGCTGAAACTCTGTATTCATTAAACAGTAACCATGGCCCCCTCCCCACTGGCTGCTGTCAGCCACCATTCTACTTTGTTTCTATGAATTTGACTTCTCTAGGACTCTCATATAAATGGAATCACACGGTATTTGTTCTTTGCCTCTGGTTTACTTCATTAAGCATAATCCGTGCTGTGGCATCCATGTGGTTGCAAGTGTCAGAATCTCTTTCCTTTTTTTTTTTTTAATTTTTTTAACATTTATTCATTTTTGAGGGACAGAGCGTGAGCAGGGGAGGGGCAGAGAGAGGGGGGAGACACCGCATCTGAAGTAGGTTCCAGGCTCTGAGCTGTCAGCACAGGGTTCCAGTTTTTCCACATCCTCGTCAACACTCACTGTTGTCCATTTTTCTATAATAGCCACCCTAATGGGCGAGATCTCATGGTGGTTTTCATGTTCATTTTTGTCCAAGGTCTTTGCATCTTGATTCATTATTCTCTTGCTTGGAAGAAAAGGGGAGGGAGGCTGCCTGTTCTGCGCTTGGCTTCATCCCCTTGGCCACTGCCTCTCCGCTGTTTCGAGAACCTGCAGCCCCATGCATGATACTAGTCATGGTGTTCTTCCCTTTTCTTTGTTTTAACTACACTTGTAATACGCAGAAAGAAAAGGCAAAATTAGGCATTGGCAGACAGGAGGAAATGATACAGAAATCGCCCACGTGCCTACCACCTAAGAAGGGAGGCCCGGAGATACCTCACACCTTCTGGAGATGCAACCCAACAACCCTCCTTGTCTCCACACCCCAGGCCTTCACAGACGTCTTCTCCCGCCTTTCCCCTCCCCTGCCCCGGTCGCCCTCCTGAGCCTCCCTGTCTCCCTGCATTTTCATAGCCTTTGCTGAGCTCCAGACAGACATCAATGAGCTGACCAGTGACCTGGACCGCTCTGGAATCCCCTACCTGGATTATCGTACCTATGCTATGCGAGTCCTGTTCCCCGGCATCGAGGACCATCCCGTGCTGCGGGAGCTGGAGGTAGGGCCTGCCTCTCTCCCCAAGCCACCCGGCAGGAACGCAGGACCTGGGAAATGCAGATGGGGTCCAATAGCTCAGAGAAAGGTCAGGAGTAAGGAGGAGAAACAGCTTACAACAGCATCACCCCCACGGGGATGTTTCTCATCAGGCGGATCACGGCCAAGGTGGGGGTGGGGGGGCACCCAGGCTCTTTAGGATGATTCCAGGGGAAGGCTGATTGTCATTTTTTAATTAATGACTAAATTAATTAACTACGATTCTGCCACATTCTCAAATGGATTTAAGGGGGCTTAAGGAAAGACCTACGATTCTGTGAAGTTTGTTTGCTCATTTGTTGGTTTGTTTTGCCAAAGATAATAAATCAGGGCAGAGAGGATTAAAGGGAGACTAGCAAACCAAGCAAGTCTGATGGAGTATCTCCTGTGGTACCCCCGGGACAGGCGGACGGACAGCATCCCCTGCGAGGGCTCTGCCTGGAGCCGACCCCCCACAACCGAGGGGGCGGCCAGAGTAGATGGTGGACCTCAGAGCCCAGCCATTCCTACCCCATCGCGGGTGCGGGAGATGGGGCGGGGTGGCTGTAGGCGTCACAGACAGAGTCCTACAGCTATCGCCACGCAAGATCCTCGGGGAGAGGCCGGGCTAGGAGGCCGGAAGCCTGTCCTCTGAGGGAGCGCCCGTCCCGTCCACCCCAGGTGCAGGGAAATGGGCAGCAGCACGTGGAGAAGGCCCTGAAGCTCTTCGCCCAGCTCATCAACAACAAGGTGTTCCTGCTGACCTTCATCCGCACCCTGGAGCTACAGCGCAGCTTCTCCATGCGCGACCGAGGCAACGTGGCCTCGCTCATCATGACCGGCCTGCAGGGCCGCCTGGAGTACGCCACGGACGTCCTCAAGCAGCTGCTGTCCGACCTCATCGAGAAGAATCTGGAGAACAAGAACCACCCCAAGCTGCTCCTCCGCAGGTGCGCCCCGCGGCAGGGGGCGGGGAGGGGGGCCGGGGTCGCAGCGGGCTCGTGGGCCCTGCTAGAGCAGCATGACAGGCTCCCCATCGCAGACATCACACCCACGCGCAGTGGCCTGTGTCCGCGCCTCTTGCGGTGCAGAGTCTGATCTCCCCGTGGCCCCGGGAGGCTGTGTCTGCACCTGCTAAGTGTGAAGGAGGAGCCCGGACCTCGGCTCAGAGCTCGGCTCGAACCCCGGCCCTGCCACCTGCTAGCGGTGTGGTCCCGGGCCCATGACGCGGCCTCTCTGCTGTTTATCTTCCTCACTGACAAAATGGCATCGGTAACACTGTCTCCCAGTCTCTGTCCCTCCTTGTGCCTCTAGAGCTGCACTGTCCAGTGTGGTAGCCACACGTGACTGTGAATTAAAATGAACTAAAACGTGAAATTCCGTTCCTCCGTCGCGCTAGCCACATGCCAAGGGCTCAGTCACCGCATGCCGGCCACCATATTGGACAGCGCACTTAGGGAACAGTTCCATCCTCGCCGAAGGTTCTGTGGGACAGAGGCTGGCTGGAGATTTGCTGCAGCCTTTCCCTTCCGCGCCCAGTTCCCAGGATCCGAATCACCAGCAGCCACCACAGGCTCCCTCCGCCCTTGCCATTTTTACTGGCAGGAGAGAGGGCTGGAGACCTTGGCATCCATCCCCCAAGGCCACCCTCCCTGGAGGCCCCAGGGAGCAGAGCAGAGCTCCTGAGCCCCTCTGGCAGCAGAGGTTGGAATGCACCATCTCCATTTCTCCACCCTCCTCTTTAGCCTGCTCCCAGCCAGGTCGCAGGCTTCCAGACCCCACGTGGGGTGAGGAGGGAGGAGGAATGGCTTTGTGTTATGAGTTCTGAGCCCCCATCCTGCCAATCTGAGCATTAGAAACTCTCATTAAGAACTGTTGTATTTAAATTAGAGCTAATCTCAGGCACAATGCAGGGAGAGGGTGCTGGGAGGGGCCAGGGGACAAAGCTACAATTTCTTCTGCCATTGTCACTCTCTCCCAGGCCCAGATTGCAGAGCAGCCCTGGCAAATGCTTGGGATTTACTACAGCCAGAGGGTATAATTTGCACTACATGTAGGGTGTTAAAATACCCCTTGGCATCCCCATCCCCATCACAGAGGGTCTGTTACAGCCGCTTTGTTCCTTCCCCGAGTCCCCAGATCTGCAGCCCAGGTTGGGGGATGGGGAGGGGCGGTGCTTGCAGAAGCAGATCCCCTGTGCGCTGAACACTCTTGCACACCGCTCTCCACTTGAGTGGCTGGGATCCACAAGCCCACGCGATAGCAGTAACGACAGCTAATACTTACGGAACAGTGCTCACGGGTGCCAGGTGCTATTCTTAGCGCTTTACATACTTAACTCATTCAATCCTGATAACAGCCCTGTGGGATAGATATTATCATGGTCCCCATTCAAAGATAGGGAAAATGAACCCAGAGACTGCGGAAATGACTTGCCCGGGGAAATGACTTGCCCGAGGTCACGCAGGCAGTCCGTGGCAGAGTCAGACTTGGAATACAGGCAGTCTGATTCTGAGTGGCTGGAGGGGCAGGTACCAGGGGCCTTTGGGGTATGAAAATGGAGTATTTAGGCATGCAAGGAATCCCAGAGGGACAGAGAAACTCAGTTGATCATCCTCAGGCCGGCAGGAAGTA